CCGGGCGGGGGGGTGGAAAATGGACGTGAGCTAACCCCCAAGACGCCTGGGCCGGTGGCCTCGGCAGATTCAATAATCGCTGAATGTAAAGCCGAACTTGTGAAGGTCGCAGGTTTGAGAGAGGAGCTTCGTGAAGCCGACAAGCACATCAAGGCAGCTGCTGTGGCCACTCCCTGTGACAAGCTAGCCTATGGCCAGCCTGAGCCGGAAAGGTGGCTTCTCTCCAGGCCACTGCTGTGAATGCAGAGCTTCGAGACAGGCGGCAGAGGCATACCCATGGGCGGGGTTCTGTGATGTTTCTCGATGCACTTTCAGCCACATCCCGCTAGCCGCTAGATGTTTCTTCACCGCAGTGGCTGAGAGAGACCGAGAGGGGAGGCAGCTTTGGCAAGTAGTTGAATTCCAGCGATTGTGCTGTATAGGAAGATGCATGACCTGGGTGATCTTCGCAGTTTCAGCTGGGTCAGAACATGCGAGAGAGACTGACTTTCGCACACCACAAGAAAGTTGGCAGTCTCTTGTGCAGAGCTTTGACATGTGTGAAGCGACAGATGCGAGAGGAAGCGTTTGCACTGCTCCAACGGAATCAGACTTAACACGTATAACTCATGACCCCTTTGCATTGAACTGTCGGGGACCGCCAAAGTTGTAACCACGCTTAAGCGGCGGGATGGCAGGATGGGGATCTTGTGATTTTGTTGTCTTTTCCGCTAGCTTGGACGGATATGTGTCACGGAAGGCATCAACAGTGGATCCGCCGCATGCAGGCCATCCACGGCTGGAATTCTCTGCTCGTGAACATGTTGCTGTCTTTGTCTTCTCGCATCTATGTCACCCCTTTGCCTCGTTGCACTTCTGAGGAGGAAGCCACGAAGCTTCGCCGTGAGAGTCAGCGTTTGGACACGACCTGAGCTGCTGAAGACCATGTTGCATCTTGCGTGCAGAAGCAGAGAACAGTAGGAAGACGAAATGACTGAAATATGGCTACATGAGCATAGCAACTATCGGAAAGATTCCCGCCCCCGCCCGCACCACGAAATTCAATTTTGCTGGCTGACCGGCGTCATTCCTAGCTGACAATCTGCATAACCGCATGATGTACCAGTTGTCCGGTTGGCACACGTGCGGACCGTCCTCGCGAACAATCTTGAAGTTGCCACTTTACGTGTTGAGCATGGTCCACTCACTGTGGCCCTGCTCCGATGTGCGACTTTTTGCAGAACTATTTCCCATTCAGATGGGAACCGTGCCTCTTTGCGTGCAAGGACGCACGGGCATGCCTTTCTCCAGCACTCCAGAACGCAACGAACGAGTCGTAGAGCGAGCCGCAAAACGAGAAGAGACATCAGCCACTGCACTGCTGAGCCTTCCCAGTTCTCCTGATAACAGATCTGTGATTGTGATGCTGACCCTGTGCGAAGAATTCTCTGCCTCGTCGTAGTTATCGCGGAATGGAGATCTTCTCGGCGCGACGAAGGTTGCAAAGCTTCGCGGCTCTTTGCTTGAAGCGAGTGGGAGACGGGTGAAGACCGTGAACTCCCCAAGGCAAGATGTGGAGCCGTTTGCATTTTGAAATCATTAGAAACAACATCCACATCCACATCCATCTCTTGCGAGTGTAAGGCTGCGTCCTCCCTTTCGCCCGAAAAAGAAGACGATATCACCCTACAAGCATTGCAGAGCCATGCCTGATTATCAGATTTCGGCGTGTTTACCGAGGACAGGAGCTTTCATCAAGCAGGTGTCGAGGACGATTTGTGCAGTAGTGGCGTCTCTGTGAGTCGTGAATCACGGTTCTCCTACTCAGAGTTCATCCGTCCCTTCATGCATTTGTTTATTCGTTCATTCATTCACTCGTTCATTCTTTCCTTCCTTTCTCCATTCCTTCATTCTGCCTTTCTCTCTCTCTCTCTCTCTCTCTCTCTCTCTTTGTGTCTCTTGCCCTGCAGCTCTCCCTCTCTCTCGAGCTCCACGCGGCTTGCGTTGTTTTCGGCCCAAAGTCAAAACGCAGAGAGCTGAGTGTGGCTCAAAGGGGCCCTGCGCTCTCCAAAGCTCTCCAACACGGGGGCCTCGGTGTTGTTTCGTGCATGAGCTGCTGCCTGAGAGCGGGTTCGACTCGACTGGATGACTGAATAGGATGCCCTTTGCTCACGCCGGGCACCGCTCAGGAGCTTCCTGATGTATGGGCTGGTGCGATCCAGGCTAACAGAAGATGGACTCCTTGTTTCAGATGTGGAGGCAAGTATTGTTTCCATTTCTACTGTGTTTATGGGTCTTGTTGCATACCTGCCCACTGACTGTGCAAGTCCGGCCAACAGGACCACACTTCCTTCATGTCGCTGGGAGCTGGTGTCGGTGCGGCTGCGGGCGGCATGGGCGCCTTCATGCTGTGCGCGTCTGGCGCTGGGCTTCAGACATGGCACAGGAGATTAGAAGATTGCAGTTGTGGGGCTTAAACGTTTTGCAAACGTTCTCGAGGTCCAAATGTCCCGGTGGCATAGGTCCGGAACCCGGGCAGGGTTGGTAGGTTGGTAGTGCTGCACAGTCAACGAGATCCCAACACCAAGGAGGCTCTTTGGGAGGCATGCTGGGTGCGATGAACCCAATGAATCTAATGCCATTCGGCTCCGAGAAGGAGGAGAAGGAAGCTGATGAGGTGAAGGCGCCGGCGATGCACGCGATCAGGGGAGGAACGAGCCTTGACATGTTCCATCTCAGGAGCCTGAGGCAAAGATGCAGAAACAGTTGAACTACATCGAGAAGGAGTCTTGCCACCGACCAGCGTTTTTTCCTTGTGCGGCACGATTGCCTGCCGGCAATGCCTCAGACACAGGAGCTCTGCAACATGAACTGCAAAATGGCCGGTCTCATGGGCGCTGCTGCTGGCGGGGCTGCTGGTCATGTCGTCGAGAAGAAATTGAAAGAGAAGTCGGAGGTGGAGCGTCCGAAAATTCCCTAGCATCCCAAATCCTCCTGCATTCCTCCTGGCCTGGCAGCGAAGCAGCTGCAGGCCGAAGCCGCTGCGGACCAAGAAGCAGAAGCCGAACAGGCTCCGCCTCCGGCCGCTCCCGCTCCCGCGCCGTACAAAGGTGGCGGAAAAGGCGGGCTACGGGCCGCAATGCAAGAAAGATATGAATATATATGAATGGAGTGAGCATGATGCACAAATTGGTGAGGTGGCTACGGTGGCTTTCTCGGGCTGTCAGAGTTGCATGGCAGCAGATCGTAGCATTGTTCCATGTCCCGGGGCAGCGAGGCTATCCCCCGCCGCCGCCTCCAGGTCGCCCTGCTCTTTCTTGAGTCTAGAGCTGAGAATTAGAGACCTCTGTGTGTGTGTCGTGGAGGATACTACCGACATCCGCCGCCTCCGTACCGACGCCCTCCACCCTACTACCAAGGCCTTTGCCTTGGATCCTGCGACTCCGCAACTCCACACTGCCTTTTGATTCCTTTTGCAAAGAGCCCAGGCGGCGGAGGCGGCCCACCCCCGCGGCAGTCGTTCATGTGATTCTGGGCCCGGGCTTTGGACTAGCAGATCTCTTGCCGTTCGGCGGCGACTGAGCATCCCAAGGAGCCCGTGAGGGTGCCGACGAGCTGAGTGAGCAGCAGAATGAGCGTGGTGCGACTGCCAACCAGCCATCTTGTTGCAAAAGGTCTCTGCAATCAGGCTCTAGAGCTGAGGGCAAACCACTTCTGAGACAAGCCAGAGCACAAATGCAGGAGAGGCGAATTGCCCGGAGCCAGGATGAGATACACTGCTTGACATTGGCAGATATTGGCAGTTCAGCGGAATGCTTTCCGCATTCCGCGTTGCTGCTTGAGGCCGAATTTGCAAGGACCCAACCGGCGCGGGCACCAAGTTCTCCCCTTTTGGGCACCCAAGAGCCATGCCAAAGCATGCCAAAAGCCCTCCCTTTTGTGAGGAGACGGCCGAGGAGAAGCTTCGACTTCTGGAGGTCCTCACGGAGACTTTTCTTTCATGTTTAGGTTTTAGGGTGTTTAGGGTTTAGGGTTTTAGGCTTTAGGGTTCTTTCTCTCCGGCATTCCCCTTGCACACAGGCCAATTGCGAAAGACTCCAATTGGAGAACGAGCGACTCGAGCGCGAGCTGTCAGCAGGACTTTTGTTTTGTGTGCTGCGAGAGCGGCGAGGCGGGGAAGGCCTCAGACATTCGCACATCTGCATGAGGACAGACAGAGCTGAGCTATGTTCGGGATGCCCGAGACTCAGATACTCGGGTTCCGGCATTTAAGACGTCTGGCCCAAAGACGGTTTGCAGAACCGGCAGGACATTGAACGCAATTGCACCACGGAAGTTTCGGGTGTCCACCGTTGATAAAGGTTTGGGCAAGAGACTCGTGCGGCGGCGCTTGTCGGGTTCCCCAACCCCCTTTCCTTGCTTCTCAGCGCCCTCGGGGTCGAGGTTGCTGCAGCGCATACTCTCAAGTACAACGAAGCCGGGGTCTTTGGATCGTAGATCTGGCCATATCCGGCCGTTCAACAGATCCTCAGTGCCCGACCGGCCATAGGCCAGGAACCTGCAAGGTATCGGCAGGCAAGAACAGTCTCAAAAGACTTAGGCTTAGGTCGCGTAGACATGACTCTCCTTTTGTCACTTCTCGGGATTTTGGAAGGCCTTAATGCATCGGTTCCGGCAAGGGCGGTTCAAAAGCATGGGGCTGATGTTGGCTTCGGAATGACAAACCATGTGATGGACACGGCGTGTCATGTCCGGGCGCTGCGCGTGTTCTGCCGGATTCAGCTTAGCGTCTACATGTGCTCCTAGAAGACTGCGAGTCTGAGTACTCTCTTCTCTGCCCGTGCTGCACTTCCGGCAGGAAGTGCTCCTCTGCTTGCCATGTCAGCACAGAAGAAAATTCCTGTGAAACCATTCAGTAGAGTGCAGGACTGCAGGGGGGCTTTCGGAGGATAGACAGAGTCTCAGAGTTTCTGTCTCAGTGTGTTTGCTCCCCTGCCAAGGTGGTTGCAAATGCAGGGGGCCCTGGCCCTCATCGCGTCCCGTCGCTCCAGAGGTGGCCGTTTGCCAGTCTGTCCTGCTTCTTTGGAAGTCTTCCGCCTCGGTACCCAAACCTGGCCCTGGTGGCCCAAGAAGCACCCAGCACTCTGCTAAGCAGCAGTGCCAGGGTGCCGCAGCCACAAGAGTTGAACATGTTGAGGACTTGCGCAACATGAAAGAAGCGAGCAGAATCTAACGAGGCCCACGACATCCCACGACGCTTGGGGCACTGTGAGCGCTCCGTGAGATTTGTGCAAAAGCCCTTCCACTGTTTCTTCGTCCTAGCCATTGCCCTAGAGCAGACAGCATGGCAGCTCCAACTGCCTTGGTGGCGGCACCAGCTCCGCCGAAGGGCACCGTGCCTTGGCACCAGCTGGGTCGCGGGCCGCGCTATAGAGCTATAGTGCGACAAAGTGCGACCCAGGTGAAGCCCATATCTCCTGATGTGCAAGAGCCGCCAAGGCCGGAGTCTTTTCTTAGCCAAGGCGAGACGAAAGGTCAGCACCGTGCTTCCCTGCCAGGCGAAAGCATGGAGAGCTCAGGCCCCGCCTTATCGCAGCTTTGTGTACGTGTGGCTTATTGCCCGAGCTTGTTGCCTTTGCCTCTCTGACTAAAGCGATTTCCTAATCCACGTTACACAAGCGAAGGATGCTAGACTCGCTGATGTTTATATGGAAGCAAGATTACCTAAAAGGGAAAAGGCTGGTAACATAAGGCTTAAATGGCAGTGTCAACAGACACCGGACATGTTGACCTCTCCAGCTGAAGAAGAACTGAGCGTAAAGACTCGTATGAAGTCGTTGTCCATTGACCCATTGACACTGATCTTTTGTAGGTTCCTGCCGAGAATGACAGTAGTCAGTAGTCTTTTCGGTGACAACATGCGGTTTCCTGTTGACTTGAGTACAGAAAGATGTCGAGAGATCGCAGCAGATCCGTAAGCGCTTTGGCACAATTCAGCGTATGAAGATCAGCAGGAAGCTGAGAGAAGATGTCCTGAACCTTTGCCGTCAGCTTCTTGCAACTCTTGAGCTGTACATTGGCCGGAGGAGTCAAACATGCGCATGGGATAGTATGATGTATGGCATCTATGGTGACTGGGGTCGCTGCTGGCCGTGCGGCGCCTTCGCAGTTCCCGCGAGGTTGCCAATGAACGCCATCATAAACAGAGTGTCCAGCTCAAGCTTCAAAAGGCCCGAAGACTCCGACGGGTTGGGCTCAGACTGAGGCCCGGCCTCCTCCAGAGGCCTCACGCAAGCGCAAGATGGAGATGGACCAAGGCTTCGTAGAGGCGTCGTCTACCGCGTCGTCTTTGGGGAGTGTGTGTTGCAGTACATCCCTGTGATGAGCCCCGGAGGTGGATTTCCAGCCAGGAGAGTTTCCCATGGGGCTTGTCGTGAGATGCTCGGCATGCGCACGAGCCACGTGCATGGGTTTCTCGCTGTCGTTGTGCAGAGGATGTCTTCTGAGGTCGACTGGTCCATGGCTCTCCCAGTTCTTTCTGGAGTTGTGCCAGGATCGGCATATCTCCTTGACTGAGCAGCAATTGTGCACGTGCTCCGGTTTTGGAGGCAGTTGTGCCTCGATTTTTGATGAATTGCGACCTGGGCTGGTGCTTCTGGCGGTGAACAACATACCACTGGTTCTCGGCAGCCTGCTGAGTTTCAAGCATGGCATGTCACGGGGCCAGCCTAATCAGGGAATGCCGGGCCGGTCACTTGCAGGGAGGCTTGCGAGATACGATTGGTTGTGCAAAGCATATCAACGTGCTTTTTGCAGATTTGTGGCTCGTATACTGGCTTGCACTGCGCGACATTTAGCTACTCAACATCCTGCAGATTGCCATTCCGGATTTAGTCTCACACTGCTGTAATGTTTTTTGCACATGGCCGATTTCATAGTTTAGTCGGCCAGTAAGAATCAAAGGCTGACATCTTAGATGCCTGGAATGAACCCCAGAGACAGCTCAGTCCGAGCAAATGCTGCGAAGTCATCTTTGGAAAGCCGGTGCTGCTCTGTAGAACTTTCTTGGCTGCCTTGAGCTGAGCCGGAAATGCGCTCTCAACTCACTGACTGTGCTCCTCCTCCTCCTCCTCCTCCTCAGCTTTTGCGTTCTTGAGTTAACTTTCCCGAGCTGGTTACTGTTCGACCCTCTGACAGAGGTGTCTTTTTTTCGTCATATCATCTCTTCTACATTCTACACTGGTCTGCGAAAAATCGGTATTTTCCATGTTGGCAATACTTCGTTGCAGGTTGAAGACAGCAGCAGGAAGGTCTCTTGATATTGGCCCTCCGACGGAGTAGTGACTGAGGTGCTGGAAGACACGAGGCCGGAAATGCTTGATGTTCGAGAAGTGCGACAGCAGGTTTTCGATTGCACAAGTACTTATTTCGCGGTAAGAGGTCGAGAGCAACATGTCTGTCAGACCTCTGCTATTGCCTCGGCTGCTCCTCTGAGTCGGCCTTTATGATTCCGACTCCAGCACGCGAGGTCTCTGCTGTTCGAAGCCCGTGGCCTAGTTGTTCCCATCTGCAGATGTCTTGTGCCTCCTGGTCATCCGTTGGACCAAGGCTCCAACGACCGATCTGGTGGAACCCCTGCCCTTGCGTCGTCAGCGCATGAATCGAAGTGCACCAGCTGGCTGAAGCAGCTGCCGACCTCTTGTGCGCCTTCCATCCTGCAGCCGTGGAGGGTCTGTCTTCGGCCCCCATCAATAAAACCGACCAGTGCAAAAGCCATCGGGGAGTGGTGGGCTGCCGGAAGCCTTCGAGGGTGGAGATCTGTTGGGTGGGCTCTCGTTGTTTTGTGTTTCGTGCCCTCAGAACCTGTGGAGGACCATGGAGCTGGTGCAGCAAAGAGCCGAGACGGCTAAGGGCCTGTAGAGTAGAAGTACGGTTAAAGAAATCCAGTCTGCAGCTCGATCGAGCACTGCTTCCGCCATGGGGGCTGCGAGCGCTTCGCAGCATCACGCAGCTTGGCTCTGAGACTGGTCTGGCCACTCCCATGGCAGTGGAGGAATCGCACAGTACCGGCATCGCCCAGGCTGGTCCTAGAGACCCGGCGGACCATCGAACGAAGAGGACATGGTGCTCTGCAGGGCAACGCTGCTTAATTTTTTTGATGAGCCCTGCCGTTGCTACAGGCTTCTTCCAGGGAGCAAGTGGCTGGCCGCCGCCGCCGGATCCTCAAAGGGTGCTGCGATCGAATTGAAAAATGTCATCCGGCGGGTGAAGTTGTTTACATGCATTTCTGAAGGCGGCTGCTGCTCTTGCCTGCCAAGGCAGCCTGTGTGTTAGCTGGATTGCGACAGGATTTCATGTCAGTGGAGTGGGGAGGCCCATGTTGGCTTTCAAGCTCCAGCTCCTCAAGCGGCGTCAAGGCACTGTGCTGATACTTCCGGCGCAGCATGCAAGTTGTGTAACCACGCACCAGAAGCTGTAATCATTGCAATCTCCGCGCCATGGCTAGGTAAGTTCCTTCGAAGCCCTGTCGCACTGGCCGAGAACGAGGCGCTCCGGCGGCTTCCTGTGTAGTTTAGCAGCTTGGCCCTGGCGAAGGAGCAAGCTTCTTCGCCATGGCGTTGTCAAGGTTGACGTGGCCACTTGGATCATTAAAGCCCTTGTGGCAAGAGTTGCCGCTGCTGTGCTTGTGCGTCTCTGTCTGCAATCATGCGGCCACCTGAGCGCGAACCCAGGAGCTTCCTCACATGCAGCTTCCGAAGGCAAGCACCAGAAGAATGCAGGAGACCCCCATGAGACCCTAACCTTCGATGTAGCTGAGCCAGGACTCGAAATTCGATGATAGCCTGAAGCTTGAGAGGGCCAACAGGCTGGGAACGGTTGCCAAGTAACACGCTTCATGGCCAGCAAAGGCAGATAGAGCAGCAGCAGCAGCAGTGGCAGCAAAGCAGCACGGTCTCGACCCGCTGTTGACCGATCTAGCACAATTTCAGGTCGCCAGGTCCGATCCCTCTGGCGCTGCAAAGGAGACGACAATATGTTGCTGAAGCTGTCATGTCTTTGCCCTTGCAAACCCGATCAAATGACGCAGGATACATCGATCCGCTGTGGCGAAGATTCTTCAAGGATTGAGGCTCGTGCGTGCAAAGCTGTCGTCGCAAAATCAGGAGCAGAAAGAGTGAAAAGAAGCTGCCTCAAGAGCACCGAGTGACCATAAGCTGCTTTCAAGCGTGAGTTTCTTCAGCTGGCAACCGGACGACTCGAAAAGGGGCTGCGGAGGGGGGGAAGCCTCAGAAGGGTCGCAAGCCCTGCATGGTCCTGGAGTGTCCTGGGGCACCTCCCCAGGAAACGGTCGTGTGGTTTCCGGCAAGAATAGAAAAGACTCAAGCTTCCACTCAAAGGGTGGGCAAACGAGACACGGGGACAAGGGAACAGAGGAAAGCAGGTGAACTGCCCAAAGCCGGGACAAGAAAAAGGTTTCAGAGATTCTTCGGGTGCAGCCATGACCTCTGGGCAGAAAAAAGCAGGCAGGGCCGCCAAGCTTCAACTCGGATCTGCCTTGTCCTCATTGGATGCCTAGCGGATCAAGGTTCTGAACTTATATCGAGTTTCAAAAACACAAAATTTTGACGGCCCGCTGGATGATTTCAGAGATACCAAGTCCTTTCGTTTCATACACGTGCAATGGTGATGTGTGCGGGCATCCGCCGAGTCCGTTGCATCGAAAACTGGGAGATTTCAATGGCATGTTCAGGTAGAGCCATACCTGCTGTAGAACCCGAGAATTCCTCCTGTTCCTGTGAGAGGATGAATTTGGACTCCACGAAATCCCAAAAGTGTCCTTATCAATGTTTTGAACTTTCGCGAACAAAGGCCCACCAAGAATGCTTCGCACCATGTTCTTCGCAATCATTGGGTCCCTGATTGATGATTGAGTTTAGGGTTTAGAGGTTTAGGGGTTTAGGGCATGGTCCCAGCATGTCTGGATGAGGTGAACTCGAGGCTCCTTCCGGTAGCTCCGAACTATTCCTTAGCAAATGCGCAGCGAAGTGCAAAGTTTTCAGGCTTCCTTTCATTTGGTTTCGAAGAACAGTCAAAAGGGACTGGACCGAGCTCTAAGTGCATTGCGTGTGTTGCTGCGAGCCGCAGGCTGAGCCTTCGCCGACTTACGGCGATTTTGCCCACGGGGCGCTTCCCCCTTTGCTTCTAACGAAGGGCCCAAGGGATACTGTCACTCTATCTCCAGCGCCCGGTTGCCAGGCTAGGAGACGGTGCAGTCGGAGCACAGGTGGTCAAGGACAGTCGATTCTAAACGGATTTTTCATGCACACGAACCTCAGTCAACGAGGGGTTAGCTGGGACTGTTGGATGATCTCTTGGGTGCAGAGGAGCACTGGTCCAAGCGTGCCCCTCATTCAGCACTGCCACCCCTAGTCCAGCTCTTGCTTGTTGCGAAAGCAACTGATGCCATGAATGAAAGCATCTCCGCTATCTGGTAATTAGATGCGATATCGATCGAGAATCGAGGGTGACTATGCGGCCTTTTCGTGTGCTAGTGCTGGTGCCATCGGCGTGAAACTCAGCAAAGCTTAGAGTGTAGAACCGTGCAGCTTCACCCCTGAGTGGGTGCTCAGTTGCCAAGGACATGGTGCAAGAAACCGAAGCGAGGTACAAGGCTATAGCAGGCCATCTCAACAGACACCACATGTCGGATTCCATGCGTCTAAGCTCCTGCTGAGGAGAAGGTCTCTTCGTGATGCGCATGGAGCCTGGCGGAGACGGAACCGACAAGCTCGTGCAGGTGACGCCCTCGAGTTTGTTCTTGCGGTGATAGTGCCTGTCGTTTGACATCCTGCAGTTTCCAGTCGAGTGGGACGTCTCTTCTTTTTGATTTTGACCATATTAGGAAGGGCAACACCATGGCACACTCGCGAGCAGATGCTGCATGTCTTCTGCTGTCGTGGCTGTCGTCCTGCTTTTTTCTAATCTTTGTTTGGGTGCGCCTGGCCCCCTCCAGACAGAATTTTATTCAACGATCGTCTTGGTGAGTGACCATGGCAGGCCATGTCCCAGTGTTCCGGATTGGTGATGGTAGGCCCGCCTGGACCTGCTAGCTGGCAGCGCAAAGCACATAAAAGCGTTGCCCAGCATGAGGCGGTTACTCCGATGTTATGCACTTCGTCAGGGCGCATCGCCGAAGCCGCGCACAGCACCTCGGCAGAGATTCAGGGTGCACTCCTCCTGACGCTGGGAGAAATACTCGCTTAGGGACTCCATCCTGCACTGCATTGCACCAACGAAGGCTACTGAACTTGCTGGTGTGCGAGATGGCACATGCTGCGCTGGGTGCAGACAAGGATGCCGAGAAAGCCACTCGTCAGCACCTGCTGTATCCCGGTGGTTGTTGTGGCGGTGATGGCAGTTGTTGCTGCTGTTACTTGCTACTGCTACCGCAGTGAGACGTCGGAAGATGGTTCAGTGCAAGTGCAAGACAAAGCTGAGGTGGTCATGAACTGGGAGAAAGCATTTCGAGCCAGGACCTGAGAAGGACAAGAACCGGAAGAGTTTCTTTCTTCCGCTCCCAGGTGAAGGTGCTCCAGTCTGTCTTTCTTTCGGCCCAGTCTCTGGAGCCCGAGCCAATCAGGGGACTGGAGGAGCACCAGCCACCGTCACTTGCACGGCACGTTTGCGAAACCCGGCAGGAAGCAACGATGGACGTGTGTGACACACAGTTGTGAGAGCACATGCAGTGCAGAGCTGAAGTCATGGCTTTCCATGGCTCAGGCCCGGAGTGCCGACATACAAGGTCTGGAGGTGTGATCGCACCAAAGTGTTGTTAGCGGAAGTTGCCACTCCAGGTGGTTGCCCGCCCTGGCGGACCTGGTGGACCAGAAGTCTACCGCGTGTCGACGGAAGAGGCCCACCACCGCAACATCGTGGACCTCAGGAACTCCATGTATCTCCATGTCATGACACTGTAACTCACGAACTCGAGAGATTTGTGCATGTCTCGATGTCGAAGGCAAGGAGGCTGGGACTTACCGTTCCCCTGAAGCTGGTGGCGCCTGGCACCGAGAGCTCGCAGCGTTCCCGTGATTGGTCGTAGTGTATTCAATCTCTAGACGAGCGGACCGGCACACATGAGCCTGACTGATTTTGCAGCGTTAGGTGACCAACTGCATATAACCGCATCATACCCTCCAGGTTACATAAAGAAAGCTGACGCGGTATGCATTGCCCTGAACGCACCGGTATCACACAAATACACTCGACGACAATCTCGACAATGAGAGATAATATGCAGCCTTCTACTTGTGGTGAGTCAGGGAGCAGCCGCAGATTCCAGTTTGTGGCAGATCGCTTTTCTAGGTTACGTATAGGCCATTGCAAAATCAGAAACTGGCCTTGAATCAGAAACTGCGTATCGGAAACCAGCCGTGCATCAGGCATCAGAAACTGCGCATCGGAAACTGCCGCGCATCAGCAACTGCGCATCAGAAACCGCCGCGCAACCAGCACATCAGAAACCAGCGCACATCAGAAACTGGAGGCGGGTATCAGAAGCTGGAGTTTGGAAACTGGCGTGGGACCATGGCATGCTAATGCCCATGGTCTACATAATGCGGTTTCCGAATCAGCCGTGTTGGTTTCCGACTCAGCCGTTGTGGTTTCCGATTCAGCCGTCTGGTTTCTGATTCAGCCGTCTGGTTTTTGAACTATGGCTGGTTTCTGATTCAGCCGTTCTGGTCACTGATTCAGTCGTTCTGGTTAGCGAGTTTTCCGCCGACCTACGTATAGGCGGCCCGCCCACTTTCTGTAGCCAAGGGCTTGGGGTTTACAAGAGTCGCGCGCAAGGCTGCCAGCTTCAGGAGATGGCTTGGTGCAGGGCTTGGCGGAGCTCAGTGCCTGGGGCATCCGCGAAGTCGAGGCCACGAAACTGCAACATGTGACAGTTTCGTTCGAGCAGATAGGTGAGCAAGGTTGGGTAACGCCATGTAACACCCGGAGCTTGGGCACTTGTCAAGGACGGACGAACCCCTGGCCCTTGAGTCTGCCTTAAGTTGGCTGCAAAGCAGCAACTCGAAGCCTATGCGAGGCAATTCCAGCAGCTGCTGGTGGCGGATCGGCCAAAGCCGCCCCAAAGCTGCACTTGAGCCAACGCGGCCTGTCTAACTGTGGGCCTTCAGGGTCTTCGATAGTAACTCAGGTGGAGTACCTGAATACCGAGGCCCGGTAGCCTTCACTGCAACGGGTTGCAGCAACTACGATTCACAGATCTCGTTGCAGGTGCGAAAGGTGGTTGGTGATGCTATCCAGGCCACTTTGATGGATACCGTTTGGTTGCAATACAATACTCATGGCCGACAGCTTTGCAGGTGCAAGCGCGGAATGAAGAGGACCCCGGGTCCCACGCACGATGTTGCACTGCATACTTTGACTAGACGGAGGTTGATGCAAGCGGGGACGTTGGTACATTGATCTCGCTTCGTGCAGGACACACCTGATGCCCTTCTGGTTGCTGGGAATGAGCTTGACTCATCCTACTTGCTGCAGGCTCGTTGGTCTGTGGCGCATAATTAAGCTGCAGCTCGATACAGCTGGCAGCGGAGACAGAACCTGTGTAGTGCGTGCCATTCGATCGACTATTTGACAAGCAAGCCGGTTAGCATATCTGTTGCTGCGGCATCGTGAGTTGGCTTGAGCATGTTGTGGTGAATCTGGTGTTGCTGCTGCTGTTGTTGTCGTTGCTCTGGCTACTTCAACCTGGTTCCGTCTTCCTGAGCTTCGGCGACACTTCACATGGCTCGTGCAACTTCTGCCGACATACCCTTCCGCCGCTGCTCCCTTTCCCCCCTGCCCCAGAGTTCGTTTGATTTATTTGCCCCGATGTCTGGGAGGTTTAGGATTTCTTGTTTCAGGGTCAAGGGACCCAGGCCTTAGGTTTGGGTTGAGGGCTTGGGCCATTGGCAATTGGGGTTGCGGACTTGAGCTTGGGGTTTTCGGATTTAACTTCAGGGCTTCATGCTTTGTACGTTGTACATACAAAAGATGTACATGCCGCAAATGGGCTTCCTGCTTTTTCCTACTTTGGTTACTGCGACGTTTGCAAATTCGTGTGTGCAGTTTGTACAAGCTATCATTGTGAGGGGCATGTTCCGAGACGACTGGCATGCATGAAAAGTAATTCAAACACGAGTCAAATACAAAATGAATACGAGCGGGAATACAAGAGAAAATACGAGAGACAATCCAGCAGCATCGGACAATACAAGAAAAATACGAGCAGATTACAAGAAAAATGCAAGCACAAGACGGCCATGCCTGCAAAACGACTACTCCTCTCGTATTTCCCCTCGCATTTTATTATGTGTGTACTTTTGCTACAACTACAACTACGGAGATTCTCATCTTATCAACATCATCCTGCTCATTGGCAATATGTTCATGCTCCCTTGCATATCGCAAGCCACGACGAAACCATGCTTCACAAAACAAGACCTGCAAGTCAGTCGGTCTTCTCTCCTTCAGGTCTAGAAGTTGAGACTGCCCGTTTGCATGTTTCCCACCCGGCAGACGCAGACGGTCTGTGGCATCCATCCCCTCATGTCACAATTGATTGTCGGACTGGTGAAACATCGGCAAAGCCTGACATGTACTGAAACTGCAGTGGTTCTGTACGGCATCGCAGCAACGAAGCTGCTGCCTCTTTTTGTACGTCGCATCTTTGCATCTTGTACGTCGTCCAGCTGTGCAGGCTCTGGGGCGCTTGTCCTTCAAAGCCCGCAAGAAGTCGGCAGGGCCCGGCAGCACGGCTTGCTGATATGCTTGAATGCCACTACACTACGCGCTACGTGTGCTGAGATACATTTTGGTCCTCGGCGGATCTGGATCGGCACTGTCCCTAGCCTGCCAATTTCCGCATCTTTTCGTTGCTGCTCCACAATCTTCACGACGCATCTCGGCTCACTGCAGGTAGGTAGCAGAAGCAAACGAAGCAAGCATCGATCCTCCGTGACACTCGCCAATCAAATGCTTCTGGATAGATGGCCTCGCCATCAACGGCTGGACGGGCTTCGACGGATGCACCACTCTGCTGCGCATCGGAATCGTTTGCCGATTGCGACGAGCTGGGAGTCTTCGGGTGCCCATCCGTTTCTCGGGGAAACCGTCGCCCACCGACTCCGAGCAGCCTGCGGCCCTCGCTCTGTCCGCTGATGAGGCGAGTCGAATTTGTCTCACATAGTTGTGTCAGATGTTTCAGATGTTCTCTCCCGTGCTCATGTTGGTCGAAGGCTTGACTCGTCCTGAGTCCTGCCGTTCCGAACCCTTCGCTGCCAAGAGGTTCCTAGGCGTGGAATTCAGCACTTCTCTTTTCGGTGCTTCCACTCCCCAGCGCGCACTCGAGGTATGGAGAGGAAGATGGAACCACGCTCAGTGTCAGCTCAGATCTCAGCACGATTCATGACTGCTTGACTTTTCATGATGCACACTGTCCGTAGGTCGAACCCAGAAAAAATCTGTGAACGATTTGCTGCGGTACGCCGCCATGTCTTGGCTCGAGCTGGATGTCCACGGAATAGGCAGGCATCCCGCGAACTGCAGTGACTTGGCTGTCGGGTTGAGGGTGACTTGGGTGTGGCAGTAGTAGCATCTGCTGGCTTCTTCATCGGTGTTCGTCAGTGGTGGCTGTCCGAGGGCATGCTCACCTTCGATGGACTTGTCCAAGACATCATCCAGAGGCGAGGCAGGCTCGGCACGAAGGCTGCGGGCTCTGGGCTGGGCTCTTGAACGCGCCTTTCTTCTGGAGATTGGCTGTCTACATCCTCTTCTTGTCTCCGCCAGGAGGGCAGTGACTCCGCACGGGACTACCAGGAGGCCAGGCAAGGTCCAGAGAGAACGTCGGGCGTTTGAGCTCCTAAATCTCCCTTGACAGGCCTGGGCAGCCTATGCGGCCTATGTTAGGTCATGCCTGGAGCAGAGGCGTGGATCTGCCCTCTAGCAACGCATTGAGATTTGCTATGCTCTGCTTCTCATGTCAACATGGCCCTCAGGCGAGGACTCCAGCTTAGCAGCTTTTGCAAGCTCGGCTGGTCTCTGCAAAAGAAACTAGGCACGGCCAGCACGACTTTTGGCTCAGGGTTGCACCGCCGTCTTGCCCACCGTGGTGATACTGCAGGCAAAACGACATATAGGCCGCATGTCCAGTTCTCCGACTCGCTGCCGTGCTGCAGTGGTCACAACTGCACGAGTGCTTACGCGAGCGCCCTAGCCTTTGGCTGATCGCCCCCGCACGTTCCCGAGGTTCATCCGCACCTACCTGTCTGAATCGCGAAAGACCCCAGCGCATGAGCTTTGCGCCTTCGAGGACTTCAACTTCAGCAAGGCTGGGATCGCATTGAAGTTGGAGAAGATTCGTGGACGCTTGGCGGTAGAGGCTGCTTTGAAGTTCTCCAACCTCACGAAGGACCAGGCAGCGGGTCGCATCAATCGGTACTCGATACTGTACCTTTCTTGCAGAGGTCTTTACCATGCTCCGGGCATTGGTGCAGCGCATTGGTGAGAGCGCTGCAGATGGTAGGCCGGCTTCTGCTCCAGTGTCAGATGCCGATGAAGTCCGAAACGTCCTGGAGGGAGCTCGACTTGGCTTTTGGCGATGTGGGGAGGCGGCTGTTGCAACTGTCCGAAGCTTCAGAGCTGGAGGGGGCTATAGACTCTAATGTGAACAGGTTCGTGTGCAAAGATCGGGATCTTCGTTTCCTTTTCGCCCAGGAGTTCTACAGACAGGACTCCTGATGTTGCAGTTGTTCAAGTCTTGCGCCTGACAAACGCGGCAGGAGGGACTGACTCCGCCTTCTCGCGAAGGCACTTCCAGAGCCACGCCGAGTTTCCAGAAGGAGCCTTCCCCAGAGGTCGGGAGGACACGCTGTTGGTGGGTGGGGGATTATGTGCTGTGCGATTTTGCAGCAGATGTCCCTTGTGTGAAGGCTGCGAGCCTGGGCGTGATGCCTGGAGGCAGCGTTCTTTCAAGTTGCCTGCAGATGGGGAGCATTTGGACATCGCATGTTACCGCAGAGCCGCTGATTGTCGCTGAAGTAGCGCGAAAGGAAGAACGGCTGCAGATGAGCAGCCGACGATGGTTCTGCTCCTCGACGCAAGATACCGTGACAATATATGGCAATGGCTGGGTGCCGGTCGAGGATCTAAACGATGTATATTGAAGAATAATGAAGATCTGAAGACCTCTTGGGATCTCGCCATGACTTGTAAGATCTTTTAATCTTGCAGCATATACGTAGCCCTGTCTTCAAGGCCGGATGTCCAGGGTTTCGACGGCGGTACCCAGAGAGCGATGCCCAGCGTTGGCCTTGGCCTCAGCCTCCAGGGCCCAAAGGGTGGACGTGGTTCTTTCGACCCCCGTGCGAGGAGCAGAGCCTCTGCAAAAGTCGGAAAGTGCTCCGGGGTTGACGGGAACGCAGTTCAAGCGCCTGGGCAGAGAGCATGGGAGGAGGTAGCCTCCAAAAAGGCCGTGAGAAGAGCTTGTGAAACGAGACTTAAGGAAGGAAATCGCCTTCAAAGAGGCAATGGACAGGCACATTGCGGCCATGGAGGCGATTTCAGGGAGCCCGCTCACCCGTCGTAGCATCTCGTAGCCGCGTCACGAAGCTCTGCCTTCAGGCGCATGCTGTCGAGGCAGTGGCCGAGAAGGACCGGTTGATGTTGGGACAAGCGGGACAGAGGCTTATTTTTTAGCGATGCAACGAGGGGATGGAGTCGTGGGAGAAGGCCGAAAGCCGTGACGGTAGGCTTGAGGTGACCAGGTTGCATGTGGCTCACACAACGAGTTGAGTTTGGAATTCGCAGCTAGGAGGGAGCTTCTATAATTCGACCCGATACCGAGAATCTGACACATGTTCCTCATGCGCAGGAGGCGTGGGACAGCCATGTCAGCGCCGCTTGGCGTTGTTGCAGTACTCAGTAACCTGTCGAACGCTGAAGCGTGCCCCGTCGCACCACGTCCGAGGAGTGCTTGCTGCAAGAGCGGGACGAGATCCAGGCACGGAAAGAAAGGTCGGAGCCCAAACAAAGATGTTGGCACATCTCATCTCTGCACTAGCAGCCCAGCTCAATTTTCCGGCAAGGAACCATATGAACCTGCAGTTCCTGAAGCACCAAATGGCGCTGGGAGAACACAAAAGAAAAGAGCAGAGGCCCAGTGAAAGCGGCAAAAAGACGGCTTTGCCATAGTCCTGGCATCTTTGCTTTGCACGCAGGAAAGAAGACATTGAAGCGGCGTCTGCGCATGACTTTCCAGCTTTCTCGGAAGTGCATCCGAACGAGATGAAGGACTTCATCAAAGGGCAGCAGGCGAACAGCCCTTTCCACATCTTTCCGCATTTGCTGTTGCTAATGTACCGAGATGACAGGCGAAGGTCCGGCAAGCTCTAGACGAGCAGGTCAGAACAAACAACACTCTCCGCACCTTGATAGAATTTTTTTTGCCTTGGACCTGCACGTCGGACTGCTGTTGTCGTGGGCCATGCAATCTGCGGAATCCTGAGGCAACCTGTCCAAGCAAAAAGACCTTGCTCTGGAACTAAATCAGCTCCAGGCGGCGAAGAGATTTGTCAATGGCTGTGCTAATTAGTGCCATCTAGTGCCTTTGCCACTCGGATGCCATCGCTGCATGACTCCATGACTGTCGGACGGGTGCCGTGGCGAGAGCCATGCGAGGCCAATCGCGAGGAGCTGGCCATGCTGCGCGATGCAGAGCGCCGCTTGATCGACCTTAGAGTCTTAGAGCCAGCTTACTGTTGCCACACTTCCATACTTCCATCATCTTCCATAGCTCCGAGGCGCCAAGAAGGCGTACGACAAAGAAGCCTTGGCAACAGCATGGAATGCTGATATTCGCATGAAGAACATCTGGAAGGCCATCGAAGCCTGGCAGCAGGGTCGCCTTGCACAGGCAGAGTCGAGCACACCTTAATCACGGGAGATGCTGCGGAGCGACTAAGGACAACCACAGCAAAGTTGCCCCGAAGACTCCGGCTCAGGCAGGGGGCCATTTCGGCGAGCCCGCATGCATACCATGGTGCAGCGTCGCTCGACCCCCCCTCCCACCTCATGGTATCCCCGCCTACCGCTTTTTTTTCCGGGGGGCTCTGGGTGGCCTCGTGCTGTCCCACGCCCTGGCCAATAGGTGTGGTGGTGGGTTTTGGGTTATTTAACCGCCCTCTCCACTTGTGGTGTGGTGTGGTGTGGTGGTGGGTAGTGGTGTTTAACCCCCTTCCCCCTTCCCTGTGGTGTGGTGTTGGGCTTAGGGTTTAGGTTTTGCACCCGCACCCCCTGGTGTGGGTGATGGGTTGTTTAGGGTTTAAGGTGTATAGATGAAAGGATTTAGGGTTGAGAGTCGGCAGCTGGGCGCGGCGCAGACCGAAACCATGGCCCATCCAGGCCAGTGTCGCCACTTTGGACACGCCACGAAGTTGCGTAGCTTCAAAGGTAACAGCACTCACGAGGATTTCGGGTTCGAGGGCACTTTTTGAGACAAAAGTGAGGACCCTCACGAGGATTTCGGGTGGTACCAGGGGGTGAAAGCCGCTCCCAGGTGTCGCTCAACGAAGCGTTGCCGGCTTCCCGGGCCGGCTCGACGGTTTCTGCTGGCCGTCTTATGACAGGCACCTCGGCTAAGACACTTGCGCCAGGTTGTTCCTTGTGAAGCCATCGGCTGCTTGGCCTTGGGCCGCTGTCTATAAGTTTCAGTGTCTAATAGGCTTTTTTCTGCACGAGTGCACTGCTATGAAGCTGAAGATGCTTTGTAGCATGAGGGACCGCTCGCAAGCCAGTGCATCCTCAAGGTTCGCAGCGGCGAACTCCGCTTGGATGCTCCACATCCATGAGCCAGCTGGAGGCGCAAGCAAGAGCCCCTAAACCCTAAACTTCGGCCCGGGGGGGGGGGGGGCCCGGGCCCTCGGCCAGGCCAGAGCTTCAAACGGCAAGGGCTTGTTCTGACCAAAGAAGCGCCCTTTGCAAAGTCTCACAAAAGTTTCACAGAGTTTCACCTCTAAGACATAAAGTTTCACTTCATCCCTCTGCTAGCAGACCCAGAAGTGCCAATCGGCTCAATGAAAGTTCCCATCCGACAGCTGCTGGCTTAGGATGCTGTTGCCTCAAGCTGAAGCAATTAATCCGTCTGGGCATCGAAAAAGATGGAGTTCTTCAAGATTCTTCAAGGCTCTGATCGCTTCTACTGCATGCGGCATGTTGGGGTAGGGTCTACTTGTATACATGTGAACTACGTTTGAACCGAGACGGCCCACGTGACCTTACCAGGCCAAGCTGCCTTTTGGAAACTGTATTTACAAGAACACACACACACAGACAGACACCATGCTCTGTCTCCCGGCGAGCATGCAACTGTGTCGTTGCTTCTGAGAGCATCGCTTTGAGGATACAGTGCCTAGAAGGCCACAAGTCTGCTGTCGCTACCGATCCGAGGTCGGCGGACTGGATCTCGATCTGGATTCCGTGGTAGTCCTGAAGTTCTCCGAAGCTTCGGAAGCACTTTGAGCGAACACATGTTTCATGGCTGTGCACGCCGTTCTCCCGAATGGGGTGGTGGCTATGGCCTAGTCTTCCCACATGGCCACCGGAGGCTCGCATCTTGGTGCTGGGATGACGTCCCTGCGAAAGTGATGGGTGCATGCTGTATGCCTGTATGTGGCGTCAGCGATGCCCAGCTGCGACCGGCGCCGGACTGGCTGGCTGCACCTGTGTGACGAGTGTGCTCGGGCATTCCAGCAATCAATTCAGCTGTGCATCTCGACGATCATGCCCCAGCACGGAAACCTTGACGAGAAACGGTAAGTTGAAGCGAGATTTGACTTGTTATGAACCCGCAGAAACTCTCGGTTCATGACATCAAGTGAGAAATGGTCACACTGCAAAGACTGCAATGGTTACAGCGATTCGAAAGCAATCGTTGCGTTGGTCTGACCTCCATGAAGCCCTAGTTGCACTTGCACATTGAAACGCGCCTCCCCTGATGCCGTGTTGGTTGTAGCCTTGGCATCAATGGCACGGGCCCCTGGCTGTCGCAGAAGTCCCAGTGCTGAGAATCTCTGCTACGAGAGGCCGAAGCCGCTACTTCGGAAGCCGCGGGGCTGACGAAGGCTCGGGGCCGAAGTCTGACCCTGGAGATGTCTGGCTGCAACAGATACAGTGAAACAGGTGAAGAAGCGAAAGCGATGGATGCCTCTTGAATCCAACCCAAAGGTGGTTACCCCGCTGGAATTAAGCCGTGGCGTGAATGTGTTATGGTTTGCAGAAGGCTGCTGCAAACAGTCAGCCCCCTTCAGGTTGGCAAATATCTGACGAAATTGGGATTCGACAGCCAGTACGAGGTGCATGAGCTGTTATCACTTGAGCCTTGGGCCCTTCAGAAGCTCGGCTTACTGTATCTCTGGGTTTGTACAGGGCGCATGCTTCCTGTGGCGCTGCCGAGGATGATTCCTCGTCCGACCAGGGCCGTCTTTTTGCTCTTCCCTCAAGGTCAGATTTTGGTCTGCAGTGCCGCAGTGCATGGTCGGTTCAACTCTTTGCAGTCGTAGCATCAGGCAAGGAGCTTGCAGCTGCAGAAGAGACCGAGCGCCTCGCGGTCTCTCAGCCTGACCTTGGGTCTGGGGGATACTGGATCGCCTGAGGGACGAGAGCTGCTTCATGCGCTCAGTACAATCCCCGTGCATGTTGGATGCCTTCGAGAAGGTGACAACCGCGTCGCCACCACCGGGCGTGCTTCACATGCCACCTTGCGGCATGCTCGTGAAGGTGTCCATGTGTGCCGCTTGCCATTCAAAGGAAGCAGCTCATCGGCAATGCCTGTGGAACTATTGCCGTTGTGCATGCCATGGCGAACCTCTGCAAACATTCAGATGCCTCGGCCGCAGAAGGACAGCATGCAGCAGCCCCGCGGAACACACCGACTGTATCGTAGTCTTACTATGCATTGCAGAGCACAGCCGGCCGAGAAAGATCAAATTTAACTCTTGTCTGGCACCTTTCCAAGCTTCGAGCAGCACAGACGCAGCTGAAGGATCTTGGCTGGAGCGCTTCCTTGTGAACTACAAGGTCCGTCTCCCGTCGGTCCAGCGCTGGAACTCTTCGACTCGAGCTTGTGCCGAGGAGGGGATGACTAGCGAAGATCTGGGCACGATGCTGGAGGAAGATGTTGCGATTGAAGCCGCGCATACTGAAGCAGAACGGGAAAGTGATCTCTCTGCACCTGGACTCTTGAAGCTTTCCAGATTTGAAGGCATTCAAGACTTAGCAAGCGTTTCAAAGGTGAGGCGTCCAGCGGGCATGTGTCCTGGCAGTATGGGGCGGAGTGATCTTGCGCAAGCACGAGCACATCATACGGCCTAGCGAGCTGATCTCCCAAGTCAGGCTTAGATCAAGCTAAGGCCACGAACAAGGATTTACATTTTATCGTCTTCGTGTGCATTGATGGGCTTGTTGTCGAGTTGCACGGCCGCGGGAGTTGAGCTTGTTTGCCTCGGACCGTCGATGCTCGTCGATAGCAAAATTTGTGGCGCTGCATACAAAGGCTTGATGGCTGCAAAGACAAGCCCGTCGTTCGCGGAAACCTGGGAGACCACGGTGGCGATTTCCTGACCGCAACTGTGAAGGTGATTCGCAGCTTGTCAGCTTGTCCATGACAGCGCATGTGCATGTAAGGCTTTACGCAAAAGCACTCCCCGATCAGACCATTGAGTTGCCATCATATGATTCCGTCACCACTCAGGGGAGAGATACATGAATGTGTCTCCGGATCCGATGCGGTTCAACATGCCCTTCGGAGTGCATTCAGTGGCCACCTTTACAGCCCAGACGGGAGGCCTGTATCGATGACGCATGCAGTGCCCTTGTGCCCTTGAGGATGGCCCTGTGCAAAGTTGGAGTAGAGGCCGATCAGCTTCGATGCTTCGCTTGGAGTTTGAATCACGTCATGAAGCCGACTTCCGAGAGGAGCTTATGGCCTCCGGTGCAGCACCTCTCATCTCGGAGGAGGCTGCTGCCCGAAGCTTTCCCACAGATGGTTGCATGCGGTTCTCGTATCAGAATTGACAAACCGGTTGTGAGGGTATGATCCGCAGACATCGCTGTGTACTGCATGCTTGTTTGCTTTGTCCCAATGCCAACCAATCCGAGTACACGGAATTCCCTGGACTCAGTTGCACTTGTGCAAAGCACCTTTCGCGACAGGTGCTTGCTGTGCATGTGTTTTGGCTGCTACTCGTAGACACGATGCTGATGCTTATATTCAACAGCTTTGTTTTGTCTGGTGCATCTCTCCCAAATTTCCTGTGGCGAATTACATGTTTATATGCACTCCGGATATCTCCGGAAGAACCAGCACGTGCAGCCTGCAGCGTGGTGCAATCGCTACCCGCACCGAAGATGACGAGCAAAGACCTTCATGAAAGATCTCTGCCCGCACAGGCGCTGGCACAACTCATGGCTCTGGGCTTCGATGCAGATGCAGCAAAGTCTGCTTTGGAAGCAGCCGGTGGCAATGCGGAGGCCGGGAGTTGCATTCTTCCGCTCAGCACAGCAGTTGTTGCAGTGGTCTGTACCGCCCTTTCAGGAGGCTGCTAACTTCCTGCTTGGCTGAGCTTCTTGCAGAAGCTAGTCAGCGTGCACCGGGGATTTGCCACATCCGAAAAGAAAGACGCCACGAGCTTCGTTAGGAGTTAAAATGACTGTGACTACTGAAATGCGTTGGACTCCAGCGATGGTCCCAGGCCCCTGCAGCAGCTTGGCGAGCATTGTCGCAGCAACCCGTCTGCAACAGTGGAAGAGAGGGGGAGGGATTGGATCAGGGTGAGTTGGCTCTGGGTTTAGGGTGCATCACGCCTCCCTCCAAGACGTTGACTGAGCCACTTTGAAGTCTGTCATAGAAAAGCCGGCCACTTCACGTGAAAGCATGCAGATGCCTGTTCCATCTTGAGTTCGGTTGTACGAACTCTCCATGTCAGGGCTCCCAGAAATGCGAAGAGACTTGACTTCAAGTCTGCAGGCACGATTCTCGGATCCAGGAGGCATTGCGGCGTGCGGCTGTGGCCATGGCCCCAGCACAAGCAGAACGCAGTCGTGTCCAGTCCGCTCGGGGATAGATGCTTCGTCTTCGTTATGTATAAAACTTCAGAGCACTGCTGTGCTTGCTTGGGACTTGCCTAGAACTCCACGGGGTCCCGCGCATCATCGCGCATCAGTCTACAAAGCCCAAGATAGTGGAAATCCCAAAGACAAGGGCCCCGCGACCTGAGTGGCTCAGCATGTACTCAATCTACGCCCAGGCACGTGGCCGCCTTGGAAGACCACTGATGTGGAAAGACCCTCCTTGGGAGTTGTCTTTCTGGCCATAAGCTTCGACTGGAGCTGCAGGACTTGCCGACTGCACTTCGAGATGTTGTGGAAATTGCTGACAAGACAGCGGCAAAGGCCATGGCTGAGCAAGCCATGCGCACTCAGAGCGTTGCCCAAAACGGTGCGACGTGCGAGGCGAGCTTGCTGAAGGCTCTTGCCTCAGACGAGGTGGGAGTGCACAACGGTTCTGCTAGCTCCCAGCCGTGGAGGTAGTGAATGAAGCTGTGACATCGGCCGCAGACAGCCGCGTCCCAAAAGGAGGAGCAGAGGTTTAAAGCAGATAAAGCGGAGCGGTGCCCTGGCTTTCAGGCTGGGACCTGATGTTCGGGCATTTGATGGCCTACAAGGAGTCCATGAAGGACTTCGCGGAGCGGTGAAGAGGGCGTGCCTCTTGCGTAGCCTCGCAGAGTCTCGTGTCACATTCAGGAGCCTGAGAGCCTGCATGTGCCAGTGAATGCCACAGTCCATGGCGAGCCAGTAGGCGCATCCGCCACTGTCAACTCATGTCCTCTTTGTGGGGGCGAGTTGAAGGCCGATGGGTGGCTCAGCAGTTTCTGGAGTGGCGCCCACATCCTCAGATTTCACCTCTGTCTATTGGGGCGTTGCGGCACCCCCGTGTGTGAGCTGTGAACTGGCCAAGGGTCTGGAACGCTCAGCGACCAAAGGAAGGAGCTTCTGATGCAGCGTGGCCTCGACGTGAATCAGGAGGCGATGGCCCGAGCTGCTGACATGAGCAAAGCCGGGGACGGCCAGAAACAGCAGGATGCCAGAAGTTTCTCGGAGGGGCTGGCTGCCTTCGAGAAGCATGTCGAGGAGTCAGAGATGCTTTTTCCGGTGCGTGACAGGGTGAGTGCCTCGTGCGGTCTCGGTCTCGAGGATGCATTGAGTGGGTTTCTGTGGATCACACTGTGCCTCCGAAGCTTTTGCTAGCAGCTTCACAACAACAGCTCTGTCCTCGGCAACTATCGTCGTATCTTGACTCTGGTTAGCCTGCGACACCTTAACTGCTGAGCCTTCTTTAAGTCCAAAGTCTTAAGTCACAATTTCCGATGTCCAAGTCTTCCATCTTCCGTCGTTCAACACCATAACACTCGGCCCTCCAGTTCCCTGGTGCCGAAGATAGGTCCCGGCTAGCCGAAATTTACGTCAAAGTCGACTTGGAAACCCGTGTCGGTCGCGCGGGAAGTTGGGCTGCCCACTCGAGCTAGGAACGCCTGATCCGGCTGGAAGGCCTGTGAATGAATGTCCAACCAAGAGGCGAAAGCCGATTGAACATCCAGAAAACATTGCACTGAAGCAGACCTCAACTTGAGCACTGTTGCAGCCACTCTTCGCGACGGAGTTCTGCTGGACTACCTTCTAGGGATCCGCTGAGAAATGTACGTCAGGTGTAGGGTTCTGGGAACCATGGAAACGAAACGGACAAAGCCTGGCTCTGCGCATCTGCAGACATTCGTCAGGATGGAAGTGTCGTGGGTGCTTGCGTCGCCAGTAGGCAGTGCAGAAGGAGGTGCAGCAGGAGCAAGCGTGCCACTACGCTTTTGCCAAACGGCTTCCCCCGTCCGCTGCATTGCGTTTTGCAGTGTTTTCAGCGAAAAGTGTTTGAAGAAGCATCATGAGCGGAGGATGGCCTTGGGCAATCATCACATGTTGAGAAGGTTTCTGAAAGCAACGCGCTGAGAATGCTTGGAACCTTCACTCTGCCTCTCATGAGATCTTCCCCCAGCAGCCCTACTGGTAGCATCTGAGCCACTGGTACCTTTGGTCTGGGAGGACAACAACGGGGATCCTTACGCCGGGCTCCAAAGCTCTGCGGCACTGCCTGCGAACAACTTGCATCTGCAGTGGCCTCCCGCTCACCGCTGAGGTTCCCCGTGGTCACTTCACGGAAAACGGATTTGCATTAGGGGTGTCCTGCTAAGTTTTACATGTCGCACCGGGACACCTCTGCGCTGAAGCGTGGGATCTGCAAGCTGTAGGCTCCACAGAAAAAGCAGCCCACGTGCCGAGGCTTGGGCGACCAAGCAGTTAGCTGGCAACCTGGACAGTTATCCGCAGCACAAGATGTCCGGATTGAAATGCCCTGAACCCTGACATCTGGCCAAGGTCGACTGGCGCATGGGCCACTTGAGTGTTGAGCAACAGTACATGCGAGATCCTTGTGAAGTCACGTCAGCAACGTCGGGAATCATCACGAATCGAGACGATCAGACAGCAGAGGCTGTGGGAGACAAAGTTCTCGCCAGCAGCGCATCCTGAAAGTCGGGAAGCGCGAGAGGCGCCATCTTGGGCCCTGCTCCGGGACCCCCCCAGTCGAATCCAGAAAAAACGCACAGCTGCAGATCACCATCGCGATCGAGACCGTGCTTCGAGAAGCACAGCTATTCCCCGACAGCCGCAAAAGGGCCGTGTTTCGTGCCTTTGCCTCAGCCTTGCTTTGTCAACCGCATACCAGCAGAAGCTCTTGCAGCGGGTTTGCCGAGCACCCTCCGGTGCCGGCCGTGAAACCTTGAAAAAATAGTTCTTTTATCTCAGGTAAGCGAACACTTGTTCGGAACGTGTTACACTTTAACTGCTTTGGCAGTCAAAGAGTCAAAGGATGTCAGAGTTTTTCCTAAAGCTGCTGTTGCTGTTGGTTTCCATCTGTCATGCATGCGCAGCCCGAGAAGAGACATCCTTGTGTTTGCTCATGATGTTGAACTTCCACACCCCACATATTGATCGAGACTGCGTCTGCGGTGTGCGCGGCTGCGTGAAGCTGCAGCATGCCGAACGTATCAACGATTCACGACAGTTTCATGAAAATCCAAAGTGCGCATCATCTGCATGGGAATATCTAAGAGCACTGTAGTCTGAATGTGATCGAGTCTGCAGGCTCTTCTTACGAAGTACCATCCTGGACATCGAATTCGAGGAATCGAGGCGGCAGTCGGCCAAGATTCCTTTGATTTGCTCTTTTTGAATACTGTTCTTTCTTTTGCAGCCTCCGTTTGCCGACGAAGTGACGCAGTTCCTCGCAGGATATCGCGTGGCCCCAAGTTCTGTCTGTGCGCCTAACATGCATCCCGTGATGATTGCTTCAAAGAGAAAGGATAAGAGTTTTTCCGCATGGCTCCATGTCCGCAGCTTTGTGACCCAAAGCTGCCGCAAGAGGAGACCCGAAGCAAAAAGATGCAAAAAGCACATTCATGCAGATGGTGCGGTGCGGCTGATTCAGTTTCTCGACGCGTAACGGAAAGTAAGGCCATCGAGCGTGTGGCTAAGAAAGCCGACTTCGCGACAAGCCATACTGACTTCAGAAGTTTGCCTAGTTGCCTAGTGCGTGCACGCCACAAAGCTCATGGCGGCACCAAGGCAGGCGCTCCAAGCACTCGTGCAGCTTCCGACCGGCCTTATCCGGCCTGTACTCATAGAGCTCATAGAAGAATTTCGAGCTGCCCTTGGCCCTTCCGAGCTAAGTTAACAGGTTTCACTTGGTCCGCTGCATCTTGCCTGCTGCATGGCATCCTTTGGGAGCGCATGAAGTAGCAGGCATGATGAGTTGAAGTTGGTGGATGACGACTTCGACGCGGACGTGTGCCATCATCCAGCAGGTCGAGTGCAACAACGACGTTGTGCCGTGGCGGCATAGGGTGTGTCTTGAGATTGAGATCTCGTTCTGCCTTTACGTAGCAAAGCCACATTTGCATCGTCGATGCGGGTTCGACAATTGGCCGTTAGTGTTGTTACCTAGGCAGTGTCATTTGATCATCATGCAGTTGCGACTGACCGCGAGGGGTCATCTGCACACTCTTGTCTCATGGTCGGCAGCATGCAGCTTCTGCGATCGTCGTCGCCGACATCTTTCATACCCCGACAAGCCCGAACCAAGGCACTTGGAAAATCGTAAACACGGTGGCGGTGCTGGTCCTCTGCACTCTGCTCGTGGCCAGCATTGCAGCCGCGGCACTTTTGTGGTACGGGCCATAGAGAACGAGCAGCAAAGAGCTGCAAACCGACTGACTCGGTTCCGAGTTTCTCAGCAGGGGAGCTCTGAGTCGCTTCCCGAGGCTGCCGCAGCTCTCGCACGACTTCGGCGGGCAGGACAGACATGAGCAGGCTTCGCAAACGATGCAGCCTGGGTTTCACAAGGCGCTGCCAGCGGTGGCCAGCTGCTTCATCAGGCCAGTACTCGGCCTTTCTAGAACCGAAGGGTCGTGGAAGCTGAGCTCCCCGTTGCAGGCCGACCTTCAGCCTGGCCGAGCTGGAGATCCACCGAGACATCCGCGGCTTTGCCAGCATTGCATCGGGGCGTTTGGGTTTAGGGTTCCTTGGGAGCCTCGCGCTTGCTGCTTTGCCCTTTGCTCGCAGTCTGCTCTCGAGGCTATGGCGGCGCAATGAATCCTTTTGCAGGCCGACTCTTTGCTCAGACTTCAAGCTCGAGAAGCGTTTCAAACGCAGGCAGATTCACCGATCTATACCTCGATCTCTACACTCCGGGACGGCTTGACACTAGGCATGTTCGCCCGGCAGTTGTACTGCTGCATGGTGGGTGACTTGGCTTTATCTCGCATGGTGGTTGCGGGGTGGGGCGGACGTGAGAAGCATTGGGAGTCGGGAGGTGATATTTCTGCGGCTCCCTGAAGCATAGCTTGCATTGCATGTCACAGCTTATCCATCATGGACACTGAGTACCTCTGACTCTTGCTCGCAGTCTCGCAGTATCGAAATGGAATACATGTGTAGAGTGTAAAGGTGATGGACTAGATTGGAGAAACCTGAGAAGTGTAGGTTTGGAGAGACACATTCGTGCGTTGTAACGCATGAATCTGGTGTGCGTGCAAGTGCACATTTCGACGCCTAAGGTACTTCACTTCAGGTGGGACAGCTTCTTTTGTTGCGATTTAATGCTGCCGGCAAGTTAGCATTGACAGCCCGGCTTAACGTGAAAGGAAGACGGGATGGGGATTCCCTTCCACAACTAGCCATGCTGCTGGCGCAGCGCGGATATGTGGCCAGTGCCTGAACAAAGGGAGAAGGACTGGAAGCTGACTTCAGATGTAGTATCGATGTTAGGGGATGCTGTCTTAGGTAGCAAGCATCGACTATCGGCAAATACCGGTCCAGATCTTGGTCCTTATTCTGTGATGATCTAGCTTCAATGTTCGTTTGGGGGAGGCTGCTCGCATTGACGAGGTCAGCCAGATTTCCATGGATTTGGTTACGAAGACTCCGGACAAAGCCATAAGCATCGTTGCGCTCTCAGTGGATTTTTACGCCATCTCCGGGTATATGTCTCCAGCATCCATGAGGTTTCAATGGTGCAGGAGGACGCGCGTGCGGCTGTGCGGTTCTTGCACAAGATGGCCCAGGACTGCGGTGCCCGCCTCGCGCTCGAGCGGAGCCTCAACATTAGAGAGCGCAATTTTCCGAAGGACTGGCGAATCGACGTGAATCGCATCGTGCTGGGAGGTCGTTGCATTACGTGCAAGGGCATGCTGCAACAGCCGAGCAGAATCCGAAGCATGGGATTGCCGAGTTTTTCGTCGAATGCACCGCAGACTGAACGGCAAGCAGCCACGGACAGCCATAGCCTATTCCAACCAAACGATCCGATTCCTCAACCAAGACACTGTTTAGTCAAGGGCTTGGTTGAAAGTCTCAGGAAGCATGGGTCAGGTCAGGTTAAAGTTATAGGCTTAGGATAAGGAAAAGCTTCAGCAGATCACGTTAACGTCGAGATTTTTAGGGTAGGTCAGGCTAAGTTCGGTTAAGATTGGGCTAAGCATTAGGAGTGTATGTAGAAGGTTAGATTACCGGATGGGGGAGAAGGGATGTGCGAGTGTGGGGGATCCAGTTTGGTTTTGTTGATGGGTTGTGAGGGGCAGGGCGGTGGCTTAGGTCAGGTTCGTGTCTGGCGAGGTTTAGGTTTAGGACAGGTTAACAAGTCGAAGAACAAGAGGGGAGGCAAGAGTTCGTGTGCGGTGATGTTTTCGGGTTGTTGATGGAGTATTTGGGTCAGGTATGTCAGGTTGTAGGTCAGTTTAGGATTGGTGTCGGTGGCTTGGTTGGCCAGGCTAGCTTGGTGCCTAGTGCCGCTCCAGCTTACTGACCTTAGGCGAGGTTTTGGTACGTCAGGCTGGAATGCTTGTCAGGTCCAGGTTGGTTTTGTGAGGGAGTCGAACAGGAGGGTGAGTAGGGGTGAGTAGGGAAGGTTAGGTTTGGGGTCCTTGGTTTAGCGAGAGTGGTTGGCAAATCCTTTGTTTTGGTTGTGTAAGCCGACATTATTGGTGGAATGTTATGCCCTTTTGGCTGGATACCCGGTGCTTTTGAACTTTGGTGGGGTGATCGGAGCTTTTGATTGGCAACGATGGTTGTGGTTGGGTAACCTGTCCTTCTGGTTGTGGAGCCGGTTTTTTTGATAAAGCTCTGCGCTCAAGAGAAGCCCAGCTTGCGTGCATGGAGGTGATTCTGCTGGAGCCATAGCAGCCCTCTACTATGCGTGCTCCTGGAGTCGAGCAGAGAGAGCACGGCTCTTCGATGCGATTCGCTCGCCAGGTATGTCCAGGGCGCTGCGGAGGGCCACAGCGGCAACGAAGGATATCCCTCCAACATCAGCGCAGTCATGGCCATCAGCGGGACCTTGAGGGGTGATGCGCGCTTTGGCTTTAAGTTAGTGTCATAATGTGCCAGTCAGGTATTATCCAAGTAGTTCCAGAAAAGATTCAGCACTCTGCTGCATCGTCGATATGGCAGGCCACCCAGATCTCGGAGGAATCCCAACATATCATATCCTAAGCCTCCACCAACCACGATACAGTACCAGTCCGCAACCATTTTCAAACGACTAGTTGGCTCTTGCCATCGTGCATGATCGAGCCTTTAAGTAGTCCCCTGCACTCCAAAGGTACTGCAGCTATGTCGATCAGGAGACTCAGCTGCGCTGCAGTGCCGGCATCGAAGGGCATCGTTACTTTCAGTATGTTTTTTTACATCGTAGTCATGGTAGCTGAACCATCCAAGAATATGAAAGCGCGGAAATGCCTCATCACTGCTCCGCCAGCTCCCGATTTGGTGAAAGAGGCTCATCCGTGTGGTGCCCTCGTAGAGAAGCTGCTTGTCTAAGTGTGCAGAGTCACGCCCGGCACGCTCGGAAGTGCCAGATTTCAGCTGGAGATGTACCCCTGCTGCTGTGGCATGGACGGCAGGATCGCCGGGCGAGAGCACATGCACACGAGTTCAGTGGGTTGTTCATCTTCAAAATTCAGAAGGATATCTTTAATCTAGTGTCGTTGCAGCATAAGGTACAAAAGCTTCACTGTGGTCTCACAACATGCCCCTGTTGAAAGTCGCATGCGAGGACAGAGTCATTCCGGTCTCGAACGCGGTTGCGAATCTGGAACGGGCCCAGGCCGCTGCGCAAAACAAGCTTCAGCTTGTGGTTTGCCCCCACGCCCTTCCCCCCTGCAGATAAACACACGCACGCACGCGCGCACGCACGCATGCACGCATCCCACACAACACCAACCAACACACACACACACGACCGTTAGAGTTTTTCTGAGCTCTTCGGGAATTGCTTGCTTAGGTCCGGTTCGTGGTCGCACATGCTCACACACATCACCAATCAGTTTGTATTCCCGTTCTTTCCATAATCACTTTGTGACAACTCTCCTCAGCAACAACCGTTCGCTAAATGTGCTGCACCGAGTAGCACAGCTGAAGCTTTTTTTGTGCAGAAGTGAAGAAGAGGCTCATGGAGTTGCATTGAAACATGTTCATTCGGGGTTGACCTCTAGCATTTGCAACGAAGAGAACGCAACAAAGAGGGTAGGTGCTTCTAATGCATTCAGAGGATGGAGTTGGAATCTTCTTACATCCTTTCCACACGTTATATCCAACCACACATGCTTGACTTTAGTTAACTTCGGCAGATTCCAGTTGAATCCTCACCATCCTCATACTGTACCAGGCAAGCCTGTGAACACACGCGATATACGGCGGATGGCAAGCAAGATTGAGCAGATCCTGTGTGTATCGGTTTTCCGCAGAGTTTCAGCCAAGAAGTATCAAGATTGAAAAAGGCTTACGTGAATCTGGCCAGCAAGATCGGTCGAAGTCCTGAATGGCAAGGCACTGTGTGTGTAAGGTTGCTAAATGCAAGCGTTTTTCACATCGCTTGCTGACCCCTCCTCCTCCTCCTACTGCTACTGCTACAACTCCTACTACTGCGACGACGACGACGACTACTACTACTGCCACTACAGCCACTTCTACTGCTGCTGCTGCCGCTGCTGCTACTGCTACTGCTTCTACTACTACGACTACTGCCACCACCACTACTACCACTGCTACCACTCTGAATCTTCTACCGGTGGTAGCAGCAGAAGATGGCAGAAGCAGCACTCTTCGGGCTCCACTCATAAGTGTCCCCTTAAAGGTTCCCTCTAGGGTTCCCTTAAGGGTTCCCCTAAGGGTTCCCCTTTAAGGGAACCCTTAGGGTTCCCTTTAAAGGCCGTGGGCGTCCTCAGCCTGCTCCTGGTGATCCCTGACGGTGGCCACGTTCCGATGAGCCAAGGCCCGGACTAGGGAAGCCCCCGAACGGAGTCTGTATCTTATCGTATTTGGTTTAAAACCGATTATGATATATGCTATACCATGACATGAGATACAGTATGTTTGTATCATAGCACAGTCTATCATGATAGCTTTAGGTTTCTTTTTGACGTGGCTCGAGTCTCAAGGGTAGAGGCTCTATAGGGGTTCAGGTTTTAGGCTCCCGAAATGGGAGCGCTTGCGCTGCGCGGCCTCGCAGGTCTGAATCCTTTTGGTCCATATCTACCTCGTTGGCTGGCGTTCCTGGCAGGCCATCCGTGCTTGGGGGTTGGGGGGTGCTTCGAACACCCTGATAAGATGGCGTAATAGCAATAGTTCCGGTTACTAGTAGTATGTTTGGACGGCTTGGCATCCGAATTGCTAGCCAGATAGAAGGCTGCACTTATCCAAGCCTAGACTCTGTCTGCATCTCAAGGTGCATTGAAGCTCTCAGATGCAGAGTGCCGGTGACCTGAGAGAAGCACAGGCAGAATGTCTTGTTTGCTTGTGCTGCAGCCTTGGTACCAAGGCCCGACAAGAGGCCGGGGATTGATTTGCGGGGCAGCGCGAGGAAGCGAGAGCACGTTCCTATTCAACAGCCCAGTTCTCTGCGCAGGGCCCATACTCACACACTGAGCACCCAGAGAGACGATCAATCGTTTGAGCAATGCATTTTTCATGCCGCCGCACGACAATGTTTCGGTCGTGCAGAATTGGAGTGAAGATCCCTGGCCTTGCAAGAAACCTTTGCAGGGCCCCACGGGGTTGATTCGGAGATGTTCCAAAGTTTTGGCACCTTTGCAAAGTCAAATCCGGATGGTCGCCTAGTCAGTCGCCTCGAGCCTCGCCGAAAAAGGTAGCAGCAGTTCATCAGACGACACCAAGCTGAATTTTCACAAGGTAGACAGGTGATCCGCCCATGCTTTTCAGGTGAGTGGTTTCTGGACCCGCCTCCGCCGCCGCCGGCTTCGATTGAACCCTGGCTTGCAAGGGTCAGAGAAAATGCTGCTGCTCGGTCGAGCTGTAGATTCTCGGAAGTGCGTCAAGATGACCATACAGAGACCCGAAGCAGTCCGATCGACATTCGTGGCGACTTACCGCAAGCAGCACTAAGTCCAGCCTGGCTGAGGACGGAGATCCCCTCGGCTTCGACTTACTCCCAGGGGTGCTGAGAGACCCCGAGGAAGAGGAGGAGGAGGAGGAGGAGGAGTAGAGTGAACCCTTCACAGACGACTCCAATCCCAGCTGTCCCAGCTTGCCTGGTTGCTCCGTGCACAAAAGGGCCACTCTGCACCGTCTTCAAGCCCACATTGCAAGAGCCTCCTTTTGCCCTCGCAGTTCGAAGTGAAAGTTCCCATCGCCTGGCAAAGAAGTCGAAAGGCTGCAAGGACCTCAGCTGAAGCCAACGCACCACCGGGCCCGGGTTTCAGACCCACGGTGAGCACCCGAGGCTGCCTTGGACATCGCGCCCGGCGAGTACGGCCTCGCCGGCATCTCAAAGCAGCGCTTAAAGGCAGCAAGCCTTGGCTTCTGGGTGTTAGCCGCGCATAGTGTTTTTTTTTGCCGAGGTGGATCACCTGTCCGCCAACGCAAAGCTTGGCGAGAAGAAAGTCACAAACTACTCTTGGACGAAGCGAAAGCCGGAGCACCCGGAGCTCGGCTTTGCATCAGCCTGAACTTGCAGCAGAGTGAGGCCGAACTCGTCCAACTCGCAGCGAAGCAAGGCCTTCGACGACAAGAGGGTACGGGGAATCAACCATTTCAGGACATATGTCCCTCTTGTAGTTTCGTAACCTTTTTGAGTTTCGGTCTGGTGCAGCCTTGCGGTGTGCAACTGCTGCCTGCCACACTGCAAATACGGAGAGGTCTCACAGATCAGCCTGCAATACCCTGCAGTGAGTGTTTTGTCAGTTGCAAGCAGTCCTCCTGGACGATGCTCTCCTCTTTAGAACCTGTAGTAGTCAAGGACTTCAGGACCACCAACAAGAAAATAACAAGACTATCTTTCGCGAAGGCCGGGCAGGTGACCACGGCGCCAACCGACGATCTGCTTCGCACGAAAATGGCTCAGACCCCAGAGCTCCAAGTGTGGCTCAATTCCTGTTTTCATGGTGTAATACTATTTTGGCAGGTAAGCATGCATGCCTGTACAGGTAGCATGTACCATTGTCTGTCTGTCTGTATGTATGTAATTGTATGTAAGTGTATGTACACGTGTGTGCGTGTGTACATGCGTGTATGTATGCGTATGTATGGATGTGTATGGTTGATTATGGTTGTGGGTGGGTGCTTATGGGTTCATAAGTGTATGCACGGGTGTATATGCGCATGCATATATATATCTATATATATATATATTATGTGTGTGTATGTGATGTATGCATGTACGTGGATGTATATGTCTGCATGTGGGTGTAATTGTGTGGATGTCTATGTATGAATGTATGCACGTGTGTCTGTATTCAATCCTGTGAAAATGCGTATGCATTGTCATCTCTGTCTGTCTCGCTCTCGCTTATATACTGTAATGAAATCTATCTATCTATCTATCTGTCTGTCTATCTATCGGTCTGTCTATGTGGCCGTCTGTGTATCCATTTATCCATCTGTCCATCTATCTAAGTCTACAAGTATACATGTGAAGTGACATACACATACAGATATGTATGTATGTATGTATGTATGTATGTATGTGTGGCTACTAGTAGCTGCAGCGTTCGTAGGGGGGGGGGGGCACAAAGTGCGCACCTTCGAGGTGCCGGAACCGAAGGTTCTGCCTTGACTAGCTAGGCGACAACCTGTTCGCTGCGTCCGGAAGAGATGTATGTATGTATGTACGTATGTATGTATGTATATGTATATGTATATGTATATGTATATGTATATGTATATGCATAACATATGTATATATACATACATACATACATACATACATACACACAGACACACGCAGGGGTCACAGAGAGGGCCGGGATCTTACACAAGCCATAAACCCTATAACGTGGGGCGTGT